AATAAAATTATCATTTATATGAAAGCCTGTGGTGGTGATGGTGGTGGTTGCAATCCAGCACCTCTTACTTCTGTGGAAGTGGTGCCTCAAGACAAGTCAATAAAGCCATCAAATGTTCTTCCTTCCCACCGAGGACCTTAAATGAAGGAGGAAGTTTTTCCGTTCTGGAGTTTCTCCCTTGGGACAGATGGAGAAGTGTCCTGTTTGTGGTGTTGCCTCTTGGGTCAGGTGAGTGTGTGTCCTCCCCAGGGCTGTCCCTGAGGAATCTGGATGGTCTTGCATTGGCTGTACCAGTGATTTGGGACAGGAGAAGCTTTGCTGTCCCTGAGTAGGGCAAGAGAATGGGGAACCACGTCTCCAAATATTTTCAGGCTCTGTTTTTTTCCAGCTCACTATCTTAGGGAAGGACAGAAATAGTGCTGCTATAAAGGCTCACTTTTTCCTGTTTAAGCAGCTCTTCCCCTTCAGTGTCACCATCACTTGAGCAGTGTTTGAGTGTCACCAGGGTCCCTTGAGGAACTGGCCTCCCCAGCCCTGACCACAGCCTGTGTCTAATCCTTTTCCCAGGCCGGAGTTGTTGTCAATTAAATACTGAAATGTTTGTCCCTGTAAAATGTGAACAAATCAGGATTAAGGGGTTGACCAGCTGATGCAATAGAAACCCTGCACATGAGCCAAGCACGTGTGTGGGGCTTGGGGCTGTGCCAGGACAAATGAGAACCATCAAGTGGAGTCATCCCAGAAGAAAAATGTCTCATGGAACCAGAATAAACCACCTCCCGCTGCCTCCTGACACCCTCCTTGTGTGTCAGAACCCACCAATCCTGCCTTTGCTGAAGGAGGGACTTGGGAATTCTTCATTACCTTCCCTTGAGGTTCTTCCCAAGGCTGATGCCTTCCTTCTCTCTTCCACTTGGGGTGTTCACTGGTGATATTTGCTTTGTGAACATGGGATTCACATCTCAGCCTTGTCTGATGATCTGTTTTCTCCTGGACTCCCATCCTGCTCGCCCCTCTCAAAAGTAAGTAGCTCCACAGTAATTCTGCTTTCCATGGATACAGAGTGTGCATTCCTGACTGGAATCTTCCCCATAGAACCACAGAATCTCCTGAGCTGGACAGGACCCACTGGGATCATCAAGGCCCTGCACAGGACACCCCAAGAATCCCACCTGTCATGTGGTGGTTGAGCAGGGACTGGGAGAAAAAAATACCTGGAGCCTCAAAGGTAGAAATGATCGGCCCCAAAACACTGACTAAAGCACAAAAGAAACGCAGCAAAACCCCTCAATTGCCTTTTTATTTCTTGTAATTTGTGTTGCATGCCTTGTGTTGCCCAAGGGAAGGACTTAAGGTGAGTTTCCTCTCTAAATCCACTTCTGAGGCAAATGAAATTTAAACTCTCTGCAGAGGTTGCCTGTGCTGCACTGCTGGGGCTCTCTGTGTTGGGATAGGGAAGTCTAAACCAGGAACAATGACTTCTGGATTTAATATTGGCGGGGTGGGGGTGTGTTGCAATATATTATATCCAGGAAATGCTGGCACGATCCTCTCTCGTGTCACTGGTTCTGCTGCTGATCCCTGCCTGGTGCTCTGTGTCTCATCCA